AACTCGCTCCAAAATATCACAGTGCACTACGGTAAAAAAGTCGAAAAAATTATAATCACTATCATCATTATCATAACATGCATTTGTAAAATTTTTTAATTTTTTTAAAAAAAATATAATAGTGTTGCAAGAGATCCTAGATTTGAAAGATTCAAGTGTACACATAAAGGCACATATGCTGATGATTGTATAGTTCAAAGAGTCATTCAGGCAATTAATTAATTCACTATTAAATTAAATTATAATTAAAATTTTAAAAGTTGTTTTCATCTTTTAATAATCTTTTTTATCTTTTTCTCTAATAAATTACAGAATAAATGTTATATAGTCGCAACTTGTGATAAAGATTTGAAACGACGTATTCGTAAAATACCCGGTATACCTAACAATCAATCAATCAAAAAAAAAGATTAATATCTACCAACACCCATATACACATAAAAACCACCTACACACGAAAAAACACACCCCACATGTACATACACACACAAATATAAATTTGTATCAACTTACATTTAGCATATAAACAATCCATCATAGCTTGTATAAGTTCCAATTTATTTTGAATTGAAAAATTTATAAAATTTGTATCGACTAATATATGATATGGTGGACCTAAAGCTGTATTATGTCTAAAGAAAAGTGATGATGCAACTTGTGGACTATTTATTTGTTTAATTTTAGAGTAAAGGAAATAAAAAATAAACTTGTTATTTTTTTTTTTTTTGCAGTGACAATAAAAAGATGTGAAGATATTGAAAGTGGTACTTGCATGTTTCTAACCAAATCCTTTTCTTTTTCTTCCTTTTTTTTTTGTTTTTCTTGTACTGCTTTTCTAAAATCAATTGTTAAAACTTTGTTAAAAAAATAACATATTATAGTCATCATTATTGTTAACTGATATTGAAGCTCTTACAATCTTGAATCATTGGGATTTAATAAACGTTTAACTTGTGCAAATTTTCGAGGTTTGTTTGCTTTACCCTGTATTTAGTATCAACAAAATGGAAAATAAGTAATTGAGACAAAAAAAATAAAAAAAAAAGCAAGAAAGGTTGTTGCATTATGACGATTAATAAAAAATACCATTTTTCTAATCAAAGCTTTTGATCTATGTATAAAAAAATTATCGCGTGACTTGTGTCATATGCTCAAAATGGAATATTTATATGCTTGTCGATGATCCTGGCTAAATTAAATTAAAATATGGGTGCGCGAAAGTCTAAAGATCCAGATTACTTGCCATTTATTTCTGACCAACTTAGAAGTATGGTTGATAGTCCAAACCAGACAATGATTTGGATATCATTAAGCTTAAATTGGAACAAAATGAAAATGGTTTTAAAAATGTTCTTAAGGCAATTGAGAAAAGACTTGGCAAAATGAAAATAATCTTGAAGAAATTAAATGCTTATCATGTATTTTACTAATTATAGATAAATATTGCATCCTGATGTTATTTAGTTTTGGTGATAAGGATGTGAAAAGTTCAACTGCTTTTAAAACCATTTAAAAATGGCTTAAATTTTCACAATTATTTTGTCAAGTGCGGAGGGTGTGGAAGAATCCATACACTACAAAAAAAAATTAGAATACTAATATGGAATTTTATGACAATTTATTTATGATTATGGATGTCAAAAAATCTCCTTCTTGATATTACAAACTCATGAATCACATAATTCAACAAATATATACAAGTTATAAAAAACTAAAGCTCCGAACGGTTCGGTTCGGTTTGAATGGGTTTTAGGCTAAAAATTACTTGGCAGTTCTTGGTATTCTGATTTTTGCACTCTGCTTATTTAGGATTAAATTTATTAATTTCTAACCTAATAACAACCAGTGAACGAGTTTTTTCTGGAGTCACACTCAAAGGCGTTGTGTTTTAGAACCTGAAACAATATGAGTTTAAAATTTTGCGGAGACGGTGATTCTTATATATGAATTGAAGAAATAGAACGTCTTTAGGATTCCATTCAAATTATTTGTTTCGTTCGCTATGAATTTGAGTATTTGAATGAAATTGAAAGTTTAGTCGAATTAAACGAATGAAACGAATGAAACAAGTAACTCGAACAAAACAAATAAAGTGAAAAAACGAACAAAACAAATAAAACGAATGAAACAAGTAATTCGAATGAAACGAGAATAGAGCGAATAGAACAAATGCGAATAATTCGAATAAAACGAATAATTCGAATAGAATAAAGTGAATAAACGAATAATTCGAATAAGAATTTGTATTACGAATAGAAACTCTAAAGGTACAAATTTTTCCATTCTAATTCGGTAAGAAATGGACCATCGTTACCATGGTATAAAAATTAGATTATGTATGTAATTAGAAACAGGATCCTTCCAGCATCTCTGCTTCGCAACGCATTCGCTAAAACTAAGCTACAAGTTATTATAAATTTTTTGAAGTTATTATGTATATTTTGCGTAGTTAACGGATTTAATATGTCTGAAATTTTTGGGTCAAATGTGAATCGAACCAAACCGAACCGTTCGGAGCTTTAAAAAAAACTTTTAGAATGTCAACTGATGATGTTTCAATGGATAATAATTGGTATTTTAATCATTGTGGGCATGGGTAAACACATGCTTGCTATATCACATATGCTTTGATTTTTTTTTTTTTTTTTTTTTGAATTGTTGGTTCGTTATAACCACATCTTACTCTTCCCATCTGATGACAAAAGAATAAAAATTTTATTTCATCTAGAAGTTTAAAATTAATAAATAAAGAATCGTAATGCTCGTTCGCAGCTTACCAGGTAAAGCGTGGGTAGGTGCCGTGATGCCTGAAACGAAAGTTAATAATGGACGACGTTAGTTGTCGTTAAATTAATTCAATGAATTTTAAAATTAAATATTTTCGTAAACATCACACAAAGACATGATGAAATTCATAATAATAAATAAGAACAATATCAAAATCGAAATAAACGAACAAGAATTCATTTGTTCATTAATTTTTAAGTTTATTTTTTGACAAGAATTTAAAAATTGACGGAAAATTATTTGAGGAAGCAATAAACTCGTCTATTTTATATCCGATTCACCAACACAAACATAGTGACGAAAAGGAAGGTTTACCTTAAAACATTCTGGCGGCGCAAAGCATCTATTTACAAATGAATGAATTTCACATATGTTTTTTTTCCATCAAAAGTTTTTTTTTCAAAGTTCGCAATCAATGAGAATTATTCTGGCAAGTATTTTAAAAAGGAAATCTTTGTCTTAAAGCATTTATTTTTTTTAGTGATGGTGACACTATTTTGCAACAACAACAATCACATATTCTTTTATCCGATTGAACTTAATAGTTCTCTTTAACATTTTCATCTTCTGATTTACCACAAGATTTAGTTGCAAGATTGTTTCCCATTGATTGTTATAAATTTTGTATTTTGTAAAGTTTAATAAAAATGATCTTTGAAAAAATCAATATTTCCACAACTTCAATATTTGGAAGCGTATAAGCGGTCACAACAATAAATGTCAGATAGAGATGATAATATGATGATGATAAAAACATAAAGTGTAATAATAATAACAATAAAAGTATTTAGTAACAGTAACAGTAATAATAATGGTGGTGGTGGTGGTTTATAAAATGTCATCATCCCAAAATTGGACCTATTCCAATGCAGAAGATCATCCGAAATTTTTGCCACCATAGACTTTTCTACTTCCTAACTTGGCACATTATAATGAATTCTGCTTCATATATTATTGTTATTATAATAATTTCTGCAGTTCATCGGCCGACCACAAACTAACCTCCAAATACCAAAATTCATAATCAAGAAACTAGAAAAGGATGGTGGTAATGTTACTATACAGATTATCAATCTTTGGAAGATAATTTTTGCAAAAGAAAAATTTTTATCCTGCCTAGAGATTTGAAATCATCAATCACACAAAATATTAACGCAATGTTAGAAAGAAATAAGAATGCGATTCCGAACTTAAATAATTGGTCCAAAATGTCCACCCCAGAGCCAGCTGCTAGAACTGTTCTAATCAAAAAGTAACAGTAGAAATTCTACTAAAAATAACCATTTCATAAAACTAAAAAAACTAAAACTTTTTTTTATCTAAAAATATCTAATTTGTATATGTATTTATAATAAATCTTCCATGTCGTCCATTGGCAAACATTTTAATTATTACCTTGATCAATAGTTGGAACTTTACCAGTTCTATAGAATTGCATAATATAATGAAATAAATGTCCATCTCTGTCGATAAAAAATTCATTAGGAGCATCATACAAAGGATTTTCATCGTCGTCATAGAGAAACAATGAGCCAAGTAAAGTTGTCGGATAAGCTGTCAAAGTTGACCTGAATGTTTCATACTAAAAAACAATCAATTATTATTACTTTATAATATTGTCATTATAAACATATAAAGTTACCTTTATGCCACCGACATTTAATGTAATTTTATCCAAGACTGGTTGAATCTCGGTAGTATCGCTATCATTATCGCTTGTATGTAAATGTGAAACAGTGTCTAAATTTGAGTTTGAGTTTGTATTATCTGATAACATGGCTAGTTTTTATAAAAAATTATTGAAAAAAGGAAGCGACATAAAAAATGGCGCTAAAAAATTTGAAACCTTTTATCAACTCCCATTTAATGTACTGCTGCTGATCTTCTTTATTCAAATT